CTTTTTTAATTTGTGGGTGGTGTTAAAAAATTTATTTAACAATAGAGAACCCCCCAAAGAAAGACAAACTAGAGGGCTGGCTAGGATATTGTTGGCAGAAAGGCGACAAACCCCAAATGGGGGGACTGAGCCCCTATGAAAGAGGGAACCTGAGCCCTGCGACCCCCACAGGAAGGTCAGCCCCACCTAAAAAGAGACCAGTGTGCATATTGTAAACAACTGGGCCACTGGACTAGGGAATGCCCTCAAAGGCTGGAATCCCAGCCTCCCTCCAAGCCTCAAAGCCTCAAGATCCTCAAACTGGCAAACCTAGAAAACCAAAGGAGCCCGGGCTCAACGAGCCTCCACCACGAGCCCTGGGTGACCCTACAAGTCGAGGGACAAGAGGTCGACTTACTAGTCAACACCAGAGCACAGAATTCAGGTTTGAAAGAGCCTATGGGAAAATTGACCAGTAAACACACCTGGGTGCAAGGGGCCACAGGAATCGCTCAACACCCCTGGACCACCAAAAGGGAAGTAAACTTGGGTAAAACAGTTTCACACTCCTTCATGCTGGTCTCAGAGTGCCCATATCCCTTATTGGGAAGGGACTTGCAAAATAAAATGAAGGCTCAGATCCATTCCTCTGGGAGAGGACCTCCTGATGTGACTGTACCAGACACAGCCTATGTCCTGTGTTTACAATTGGAAGAAGAATGGAGGATGCATGCCCCACCACCTCAACAGAGGCCAACCATTATCCTCAAGGACCTCCAGGCAACAATCCCTGGAGTTTGGGTGGAGAGACTAATTCCCCAGGGAGGGCCATCCAACAGCCACCAATAACAGTGACCTTAAAAACTAATGCTCAGCCTGTCAGGATAAAACAGTACCCAATGATTCTAAAAGCCAGGGTGGGAATTACCAAACACATAAACCACCTTACAGAGTTCGATATTCTGGTTCCATGCCAATCTCCATGGAACTCCCCTCTCCTACCTGTCAAGAAGCCAGAGACTAACGATTTCCAACCGGTACAGGATTTGAGAGAAGTCAATAAGAGGGTAGAGAATATCCACCCTATAGTCCCCAACCCTTATACCCTGCTGAGCTCATTCTCCCCAGAGAGAAAAGTCTATACCGTTTTTAGATCTCAAGGACACCTTCTTTAGCCTGACCTTAGTGAAGGAAAGCCAACCCATCTTTGCCTTTGAATGGCGAGACCAGGGGTTTAATGGACAACTCACTTGGACACGACTACCCTAGGGGTTCAAGAACTCCACAATCTTTGACAAGGCTTTACATCAGGACTTGTGGGAGTATCAGGCCCCACACCCAGAGGTAAGCCTCCCACAGTACGTAGATAACCTGCTGATTGTCACTAAGGATGAAGGCACTTGTCTTCAGGCCACCAGAGACTCGCTCC